TTGTTGGACGAAAAATCCTCTACATCATATAAACAGTGTCCAAACCTAATACGATAGCTGTCAAAGCTAATCAATAGCGGCAAATTTGCTGCTAGTCTCCTGATGTGGAGACTGTATACGGAAGAGAGTCAGTCGAAGCAATGATCCTATTAATTCTTTCGTAGATTGCCAACACAACTAACGAAACCGTCAAGAATTTGCTCTATTTACGAGACCAGCACATTTGATTCCTAGAGCAATCTAAGTAAACAATTGCAAACCCCATTAACAGCAAGAGCACATGGAAAATCAAGTGTACGCATAACAAACTGCCTTTTATCTCGGAGAAAGGAAGAAAACGGAAGGGGCGTTTCAGCAGAAAAGCAAAGGCTAAGACTAAGATGCACTGCCATCAAGAACACACTAAAATGCATAATCATGAGTAGTAATTACAATGACTCAGTGCGAATTTTGAAGAACACTGCCAAGGGCATGATTCGTCATGCGAAAATGAACAAGCAGCTATGCGAAGTACAAAGGGCATGCGAATAAGAATGCCTGATTCACCTGCCGTGGTAGCAATAGAGAACGTAAGTGGCCGTACTCAGACTTCGCTGCAAAGATAGCATGCTTCTCGGTACAGGTTAATGGACTCACACATCTGTGACGCTTGCATCAAGGTTCGGCTTAGAATTGCATTTCTACTTTGGTGCTATGAAAGAGGCCAGAGAAAGATCCATAAATTTTTTAAGCAATTAGAATTATCTTTCATTAGCGACAATTTCGTATTTATCAAGGCAATCTTATTTATGAGCAACTAGTTGGCAAACCCGGCTCCGCCCGGCCCTGTCATTATTATATTCGTAATCAGCATGCTCGATTACCCCCCTGTGCCAACTCCCAGCCCCGTAGCTCAAATTTTGCAAAAAATCGATAAAATCGATATCGATCGATGACGAAAAGTAGCCTATGACACCCGCCGCGGCCCGAAGTGTATGTGTGCCAAGTTTGGTCCGGGTCGGTTCAGAAATGGAATTTTCTATTCGGAACATACGTACATACATACATACAGACAGACAGACAAACAGACATTCAGCTTTATATACAGGGTGTCCCAAAAGTATGTATCGAACGTTTGATCGTTAATAACTCTCTTCCCAAGAAGTCTTTTGCCTTGCTTTAGGTACCGTTTTGTAGAGCTGGCTTCAACTTAGATTTGCACTATAGAACGAATCATTCATCTCTCTTCATTACTGTAGGATTACGGTAGAAACTTGAAACATATGGTGTTAATGTGAAAAAAGCTGCCGTTTCAAAATTTTTCAAAAAATCGTGAAAACTTGTGTAATAGGGTTTTTATGGACGCTGAGTTCAATAATTAACTATTCACAAGATTACGAAGCTTTCTAAACGGTGTAATCCCACTTTTTAGGAACATTGAAGAAATGGCCGCTACTTCTTACCTGGCATAACTCTTCAATGAAGCATCATAATAAGTTGGGAACTTTACAGTTATAATCAGCAACTCTAATTAGCCTAGTGTAAAAGTTTTAAGGCTGTTTTGTTTCCTTTCTGGGGCAAAATATGGCCTTTCATTGCTTAAAACCCTCCTTGAAGTTTCTACCGTAATCCTACAGTAATGAAGAGAAATGAGTGATTCGTTCTATACTGCAGATCTAAGTTGAAGCCAGCTCTACAAAACGGTACCTGAAGCAAGGCAAAAGACTTCTTGGGAAGAGAGTTATTAACGATCAAACGTTCGATACATACTTTTGGGACACCCTGTATAAGATAGTCGTACTCACGTTTATACTATATCTTTGGATAAGCTCCTAAAAGCTATACAGTTGATAGATCCGTGCTTGAATAAATATGCCGGAAAATTACTGGGAGGCTATTTACTTTAGCTCTCAGGTCAATAACGTATAGTACAATAAAGTGTACTGTCACATTACATTCGTCACCCACCTTCTAACAGTAGATCAAAGTTAACTCAGTACCATTCATGGTCGCTTCTAAATTGCGTTTTCAGGTAATTACAAGCACGATGAAACTTTGGGGAAGCTGCGAAGTAGGGAAAAAGCATTTCAAAATAGAGCGCTAAATAAGCTTGTCAGTTTTTAAGCGAGTAACATAAAAAACATGGAGGAATATTTTTCTAGAGCTATCAATTGCTCTGTGCTTGGAGAGTCCTGTCGTTATTATAGATAGAAGCTCACCTGTGCAGTACGGGTATGGTACGAAGGAGCTTTGAAGGACCCAAATAAGGGTCGGAGCTGGATCAGATTTTTACGACAAAAGTTAGACGAAAGCAATAACAAAAGTGGTACGCAAATGCGAGCGATAATATTGAATGCAGAATTCTTCCTCTAAATCTCCTCTGTCTTTGAGTGTTAATTACAGAAGCCCTCAATGGACGTTACCACGTTGCATAGTGTAATGTAGATTAGCTTATTGAAAGAGGACAGTGCGGTGCCAAGCAATCTGAGAAATATCAGGATGTGTAGAATGCGCATGGAAAATGCCACACTCATCATTTCCTAATCTTCCAGTCTCGGAGATCTGATCGCTACGCTTTCCAATGCTCATTCGAATTTCGCAGGGTCTTTATTGGTGTTTGTTCTTGATACGCTTTCCAATGCTCATTCGAATTTCGCAGGGTCTTTATTGGTGTTTGTTCTTGATGTTGTTAAAAAACTAAGTAATCGCACATTCTTCTACATTTTGCTGTCATGATTCTGATATTATCCCAAAGTGTGACATTCTGACCGACTCTTCTCAACTTCCACTCTCAATTTGCTCTTGTTTGCAGACCCATATGTGAAAAGATATAGCTAGAAGTAACCTCAAATGTTTGAATTCTCATGCAGATCAGATACCAGGATTTAGACTGTATATCTACTAGTGCAGTTATTGAAGCGCAAAGTTTTTATTATGCTGTAAAGTATTGAAGTTACTTACGCACCATAATTGACTTTACCTTAGTTTACCTAAAAAACAGGAACCAGGTCCGCTATTAGGGGTGCAAAGCACAGAGGCTCTTCTCCACTCCAGCCGCACACCTTGAGCGGTAAAACCTGTGGTAGCCTACATGAATCACAGAATTGCGCAAATGACTAACTTTTACTCAAAAACAAAAAAACACGTTAAATTGACTAAACAGTATTTTTCTCGGAAGCATGACCCCATTTCAATATACGCATCCGCTGGCTGCACACTGACAATTATGAATATTGTGTAACCACCACTTGCTTGCAAAACAAACACGAAAGCACTCAAGGGATCATTTTTTTTATCAGCGTTTTTAGCTCAGCGCTTTTCATGACCGGAAAATTTGGCTGTTTATCACAACCATTTATGCTGATGAAAGTGTAACTCTTCACTAAGAAGCTTGGCAACTATATTTTAGAGTTCCTATTCCCATTGACTCAAGGGTTGCTGCTGGCTTTTCCAGATCGTCGCTCCTTTCTCTCAATGAGTTGTCTTCATTCATAAACGTGAATGCCGCTCTCACCAACGTTGCTCATCAGAAAGCGGCGGTGGTTATTCCTAGACTTGTCGTTGCCAATTTTTGCTGTGATACATCTTTATATTTTTACTTAAATAAGCGTTTTTCAACATCGCAATTCACAGTTCTGTTATCCATGACTACTTTGATAAGAGTTTGTCCCGGACTGGAAAGTTTGTCCCCGGGCTAGGAAGCAAGCTTTGCACACATATAGAGTGTTTCAAAACATTGTAAAGTCTGGTTTCTGCTTAGCATGATGTACTTGCGGTGCCGAAAATGCGATGAAATTTGCGGGTGGACAAATAGCTACGCTTGCAATGCCGGCCACTTGCGCGTGAAGATGCCTGCATTAGTGGAATGGTTGTCCGTTCATGCGCATCTCAAATATTCGCAGTTAAGTCCCGCCGGAGATCCGCCCACAAAATGAGAATTCGCGAGAACCGGGAGTCTTGCGCGACACCCGGTTTTGTCCCGACTTTCGGGATAATCCCGACACAAAAAAAAGTGAAGCGGGAGATTATCGGAAGTTGCGATCTCGCGATCCAGCCACCTGTGGTAACATGTTGGCAACGTGGTTGTAACATGTTTGCAACATGCCACAACATGTTGACAGAACATTTTAGCCACGCCAACATGTTATGACATGTTGCACCGCAGCAGCACCGCTTCCGCAGCAGTTTCTTCATTTACGCTCTTGCGGCGGTTGTGTTCGAAAGCTGGTTTCGTTTCTTGCTGTAGATGTTCATCGGATTTCTAAGGAGATTCATCATTTGCTGTGCTAGTTTTACTGCCAAGAACCAGAGTCTGTGAACACTGGCTGGCTTGTATATCTGTGAATCTGCTTTATCTTTTTTGACCAACAAACTGAATGTTAGGATACTTCCATATCATAACAGCTCCCTTCCATTCCTTTATCTTTTACTCCTTCCCGCTTCTCGCGATTCCAATGAAGCAACGGAATCTTCTAATCTTCCAATCTTCAAATGTGAAAGAGGGATCATTTCTGTGTTTGGTGTAGATCACCCTTCGAACGTTGTCTTCCTATTCTCATACAACTATTTTCCGAATAGTTGTCCTACACGTTCACGACTTCCTACGTTTCACCGGTACCTCTATGATCCTCATCGAGATACACCCCATCCGCCAGTGGGGTGAACTCTGCCCCAAATGTCACGAACAGCCTGGGCAGGTCGCGACCTCCTGGTCATCTCCACCCTCTACTCCTATCCGCACCATGTTTGCCAGCTCTTATCAATGTGTTCTAGCAACATGGCGGTGAAAAATGTGAGAGTGCAGAAAAATGCAAATGTGGAACATTATGAGCATTTATTCTGGAAATTGCATAGTTTCAATATCGCACTTTATCACTCCTCTCTATGGGATTTTGGCTTGAAATGTCTTTTCTCCCATTTCAGTGAAGTGTGAAAAACCTAGTAGTGGATCCCGCTGGTTCGCTGCCTGTTGTGCTGCCCTACGAGCAGCAGCGGCTCGTTGGATCCAGCTGAGTGCAGCGATGAGAGCAAACCGGAGTGAAAGAGAAATCAAAGACGAGAAGAAGCCGAATGGACTCAGCAACGGCGTTGAGCCCGAGGCTGAAGCTGCCTTGATAGTCGATGAACAAGCTGAGCCCAGTGGACACTATATTTTTGATAAGTGAGTGATTGATGGTCTTTCTAAAAATTCTAAAATAGATCTTCCAGATTTCATTCTTGATGGTGTTGGCCTCTACGCAGAAGAACTGCTGCTCAACGATGAGGCTAGGACAAGATGTTTGACAAGTGTTTAATGGATTAGCACGAGTGGCTATAGGAAGAGCTTTGTGGGCTTCTTTCAAAGATAGTTTCCATGAATCTATTGAATTTGAAGTTCAGAGGAGAAGCGAGCATACAATTTTGATGCTGATAAAGAGATGCTGTCGCCACCCTCGGTAATATTCATATATGATTTCTCAAATCAGTGTTAGATTGTTACTCTTTTCCAGAAAAAAACGTTTTTGCCCCACTACAACGCAAGATTCTTTGGAGCACGCGAATGAGCCGGAGGAGCAAGACGAAGAAATCGAAAGTGTGAAGTCGATTTGAATTATGGATTTGATCTCAAATCTTGATCTCCACATTCCTGTTTTTTCTGTTGACTTAGTTATAGTGATTTCAATGTTATCTTTCGGTCGCGAATGCTAATGAAGAGCGTTTCTGAACTCGTGTATAGCACAGCACCTTTGTAAAATTGAAGGAGAACCTATTTGAGAAAAGGCCCAGCCGGAAGCTGATCGGATCGCTGCTATATCGCGTCTCCCGCAGGAGACTGCAGCCTAGAGCGGGAGTCTCGCCGGTGACCGGATCGAAACATTATCGGGACTCCCGCAGGAGCTCCCGGTTTTCTCAGTAGAAAACATGTCGGGACAAAACCGCGTGTCGCGCAGCATTAGCCCGAACGAAAAACGGGAGTCCCGGTTTTTCTCGCGAACCATTTTACTTGTGTCCCGCAGTCATTCCAGCCACAGGTGCGATAGTGTGAGAATTTTCTCATCCCCTCTTCACCCCTGAGCCGGGACCAAGGCGACCCCCTTCACCAAAAGCCGAGAAAAAAATCAACAGTGAGGTAAGGTTAAGCAAAGGAGCTATTTGTACGTGCATTGTTTATGTACAGAAATGGAGGAGTCTTGTTGAAAAAAGTGCTGAGTTACGGATGTGAGTAGTGATTTTTGGACATTTTGGAGTTTTTAACATAAAAAATTCATAACTTCTGTAGATGAATATCTTTTACGGCGAGATGGGCACCACTGGAACCGTCTCGTCCTCCGCTTTCAGAAAATATACACTTTGCCTAGGGTCCGTTATAAAAAGTGCGGGGTGAACGGTGGGTGAGACTTTTATAATGGGAGTGCTCAAGTACAGGCTTTTTTACCTTTGTAAAAAGACGTCTACTTGAGCACCCCTATTATAAAAGTCTCACCCACTCTTCACCCGGCACTTTTTTAATGGGCCCCAGGCAAGGTATATATTTTCTGAAAGCGGAGGACGAGAAGGTTCCAACAGTGACCATCATGGCGTACAAGATGCTCATCCACAAAAGTTATGAATTTTTTTATGTTAAAAAATCGAAAATCTCCAAAAATCACTAGGACACCCTTCACCCAGGCACTTTTTTCAATGGGCCCTAGGCAAAGTATATACTTTCTGAAAGCGGAGGTCAAGACGGTTTCAAAGGTGACCATCTTGGCGTACACGATGTTCATCTTCAGAAGTTACGAATTTTTTTATCTTAAAAACTTGTAAATATCCAGAAATCACTACCCACACTCTTCACCAGGCACTTTTTCAACAGACTCCAGGCAAACTATATATTCTCTAAAAGCGGAAGACAAGATAGTCTTAAAAACATTTCCCTTGCTGACGTTGCTGTTCATCTACAGAAATTATAAATTTCTTCTTTGAAAAAAATTCGTAAATGTTTAAAAATTAATGTTTTGTGTTTTTGAGCCAGAACCGAGATTGTTACAGATTTTTATTGGCTTACATTTCGGCCACTTCGCCGTCCTCAGAGCCTGAATGGGACGATATGCAATT